ATTTCCCCATTATATTTTCAGGCTGTTGTCTATTAGTAAAAAATTAAATAAATCTGGGACCAAAAATATTCAACATAAACTGAAAGTCAAACTTAATGTCATTTAAAAATGAGACAAAAATCAGTGTGAAGTTTTAAAAATAAATAAATCTGATTTTCATGTCAGATCTCAGCTTGTGTCGTCTGTCTGTTGGTTTGTGCTTCTTATTTTTGGTCTAATTCTCACTAAACTCTTGTGCTATTAGGCCCCCTGAATGTCTGCTTAATTTCACAATGTTTGATGCATTTAGTTAAATATATTTAGTTATTAATGAGGATGTTTGCTGGTTTATAAAATCATCTCAGAAAACAATGAATTTCCTCATAAATAACTTAAATATAAGTGACCGTGATCTTCAGCACATTAAAGTGTTACGAGTGTTACTCTCACATGAATGTTCATTAAGATGATTCATAAAGAGGGCATGTTCACTGAGCCGTCTCTACTTTCACTTTTTTCCTTTTTTATATTAAATATAACATCAGTTTGTGTTTAATGGAATCTGAAAATATTATCTGAGGCAAATGTAAAAACTGTGACGTCCCAGCACATTTACCATCTGCTCTGGATGATAAATTATGTGTCTGACATATTTCCTTTTTTATAATTTATTACAACATGTGATTATTTGTGAGGGTCGTCTGAACTGAGACACGGAGCGACTTCCTGTGAGCTGCAGGAACAGACAAACACAGTAAGATGGATCCTGAGCAGCAGACTCAGATCCTGATCCTGGGTTTAAGTTTCCATCCTCTGAAACTCTGCAGCCTCTTATCGTTCTAACAGAATCGTCTAACTGTGAGAAACTACAGACCAGACTGTCCCGAGGTTTTTCTAGAAGCTTCCACTGAAGGAGAGTTTCAGTCCAGGACTGTTTTTATTAAAAGTCAAATATTAGTTCACAATAATTGTAAAACGAATAAATCTCTGATTATTTAGATCTTGCAGGATCTTGCATTATTTTCTGATTAATCAGTTCATTGAGAGATTGTAGCAAAAACAACCATCAAAGTTTCAGAGACAAAAAATCCTAAATATAAACAGAAAACTTCAAATATAATTAATTTTTACTTTATTATTTTAATATTTTGATCAACTAATCAGTTAACTGACAGTTTATATCAGTTCATACAAACATGATCCTTAAAGCTGTTTGAATTAAATGAAAGTTTCCCAGACTGTAGTTCTACATTTATTATGAATTATTATGTTAATAATTTTAATCTGTAATCTGAATGAAACATTTAATGTGTGCAAACCTGTTTACTACTGTAAACAAAACACACTGAAAACATTAACAACAAATATCAGTAAAAATGAAACATGAACAAACCTCCAGTTTGGTTGAAGCGAGGCTTTAAAATCTCAATGTTGGCTTTGTACACCTGCTGGGCACCCACAGCGATCCCAGCGTTTCGCTCCCAGAACTGTGGATCTACTGCACCGTTCACCCAGTCCTGTTTGGGCACCATTTTCTCCGTGTCGCTGTCATAATATTCAATGTGAACATCATCAACCATCCCAACAATCACAAACTCTGGGAAGTTTGGGACTTGAGAGGACGCAGTGTAGAAATACTTCAGCGAGTGGGTCACTGTGAGAAACAGTTAATGTTGTGAGATCTCAGGAACACAGACTTATAAATTATTTTAGTTTTTAAATAACACAATAAGAAAAACTACAGCACGTTAAAGACATCCTGTAATAATCCTGCTGTCCCTTCAATAAACACAAAATAGATTTATGAATAGATATTCAGTGGTTAATGTCATTTTCTGATCATCTTTTCTTCAAAACTGTAATTTTGTGTTTTGCAACAGATTCTAGTTTGAACCTGATTTTCACAGAAAGCTTTAAAGTTTTAAAACTGGTGTTTTTATCCTTCAGCTTAGTTTAATTCAGTTTTCATGATTAATGGTTTGAACTCTTTATAACTTTAATTTGACTATATTTTTATTTTCAGTGTTAAAGAATGTACACATTATTTTTAATCTGTTTTGCTTGTTAGCCGCTGTATGAACCGTAAGGTTTCTTCTTTCCTTTTTCTGAATCAAGCAGCAGGACTTCTAAAGTGAATTGTTTTCTTTTTTGTTTCCGTTTTTTATATTATAAATTATATGAGTTCATTTCATTGTTTTGATGTGACTGTCCAGACTTTTTTTTTCATAATTTCTGTAATGGGTTTTCTAAACATTAATACCCATGCTTCTTCTTTGTTTATATTATTTTCATAGAGTTTTGTCAATTAATGCACATTCAAAATTGTTACAGAAACTTTCCAATATGTTTGATCAATAATATTATCAATAAAAAACGAATGTTAAGTAAATATTGTTGGGGGAATATTATCTTAAGCATTTTTGATTTTATCTTTCACTCTATAATCAGGTTTGCAGGAGAGTTCTCAGTTATCAAAAGTACATGGATTTGTTTGTTTGTGTTACTAAACAATGCACATAGTAGTTTAAAACGCTTCTCATTAGCGCCCCCTTGTGGAGGAGCGAGTGTGTTGCAAAACCTTTCAGGGGTTTCTCACCTGCAGCTTCTTATTGATCATTCAGCAGTGATACCAAAATTAACTCTTGCTGGTAACTCCACGATATTATAAAGCAATAATGACTTAGTTTAGTTCATCTGAATTCTATTTCATTTTATTTGTATGACGCCAAATCACAACAAAAGTCACATCATGGAGCTGTTACTGAATCAATAACATCAGAAAAACAGTGAACTTACATCCGGGCGTAATTCGTTAGTTACATCATGTGTGCGCATGTCCTTCAAACAGAAAGTATTCACATCCATAACGCTGGTGAATAATACTGAATACAGTCTAAAGCAGCAGTCTTTTACCTTTTAATGAATTCCATCAAATGACATGTGGCTCTACATACACAGCGTATACTGAACAAATAATTAAATAATTAAACTCTTAAATTTTAACAGATACTTTGTGCTAGATACACTTTAGTGAACTTTAATAATCAGCTGTTTTGTGAAAATATTTTTGATTCCTCATGAAAATTAAAATGGTTCTCCGTTTTTAAAGAACAGTGTTGATTATTGTCACCAGATTATCAACGAGCCTCCTCACTCATCTTTTATTCGTTGGACTGTTTGGAAACACAGCAGAGTCTCAACCTTTAAAAACGCGTCATGAACGATTTAAAGACGGAAATCATCAAATAGTTTTGGACAGAAATCGCCTTGTTTTAATATTTGCCTTATTTATTTACTTTTATTAGCTAAACGTAACTTTTAATCTAAACTTTGATGTTCATTATTAGGGAGGTGAGAGAGAAACAGACGATTTAATTACATGTATAAAATGATCGATTGTTTCTTAACATTGAAATTATCTACAAGGATCTATCATAACTAAATGTTTAGCGTACAGGAAGTCTCTGGGGAACAAACAATCTGTCCATTTGTATTTGAAATTACATAAATCTGACATATGAAAAACACAAAAACATTCAAATCAAACTGACCTGCCGCTGCTCCCTGTATCCCCAGGAGAAGAAGGAAGATGAAGACCTTCATTGTGACCATAAACATCCAAACCTTTAACAGACTTTGTGTGTTCGCTTGTCTAGAAAAAGCGGCTCTGTGCTTCCAGCTCGAGTATCAAAGCTAAAATAGGAGAAAACGACGAGAGCCAGGAGGTACGTCCCCACTGGGCTCCATCTGAGCCAATAAGAATTTACTCTGACAGTAAACGTCACTTAAATCTGGGGTAAACGCAGCCTTTAGGGTTATCAACGAAACTGAAAGTAAAATATCTTCATATGAACCATGAATGATAAAGAGAAGGGTTAAAGTTAGTTTCATCTGGTCTTTATTATTTTTGATGTTATGACAGGTGTAGTTTGTAGTAGTTTGTGTTATGCTGGGTAGACATTGTATAATTTATTATTATTATCATCATTATTGTTGTTGTTGTTGTTGTTATTATAAATCTGGGTTCACTGTTTAGCTATTTGGTACAGATTGCCCCTGGAGTCTGTGAGGTTATGGTGTCTTTAAAGATAAAGAATGACTGATAGAGAATACATATCAAATATGATTTCACCGAGTTGTGGTGTGGGGCTCCCTCCAGTGGATAAAACAGTATAAC